GTGCAGACTGATAAAAATGGAGCCGTCGCGTCTCGTCCCAAGGTTGGTGCTCCTGTAAGTGTCGGAGCCTCGGTGTGAGACAATTCAGTCGGAGGTTTTGTGTGTATTTTAAAAGTGCGCTCAGTCTTGCAGCGCAGAGTGCAGAGCGCTGTCGGTGGAAGGTGTAGCCACAGTTTTTCTGGTTTAACAGCAACGTGCCGGGCAGGTGACAGGTCTGTTTACCCTGTCTGTTCTCTGAAAGACATCACAGCATGGAAAAGGGGAGAAAATCGGCGTGTTACATCACTGCCGATCCGAGCTGGAGCCAAGAAACACTCGTGACAACTGCAGTCATTTGAACGCTGGAGTGAATGTTGATATGTAGCCTATCACATTGACCACAAAAGCCAGATGTTAGCAGGGTTTTTGCCCAGTGTAAAAGGGGCTTAAATAGTGTGGAAAGATTTACATTTACACATTTACATTTACACATTTACACAGTGTGACAGTAAAATGAGTCAAAATAACCAACATAGGCACAGATGACTCACTACACATGAAGCGAGACATTCCTGTGAGGTTGTAGTGATGGAAGTGATGCAAGTTTAGAGAAAAGGAAGTGTAATGTGTAAAAAAAACATTACTGTGAAAACCACTGACATGTAGCACTGTCATTGCTGTTTATACATGACACTACAGCGTGTCAGTTAAGTTAATGTTCCGGCTCTGCTTTGTGCTACCTGCTAACCTTTGCTAAATTCGTCAGAGGAGCATGTATCACGTCTACAGAAAGCCTGAGTGCTGTGAAATGCATCAAGCCATGAGAGCTTTGGGAATTTGACTTGTGTTCCTTGAACTTAAAGATCAATCAGTATTCACCCCAAACCCTTCTTGTTGTCATCTGCCTTCCCAGAGCAGAGCAGCAGTCCGAAAGGCAGTGGGAGTGATTCCAAGGCGCGAGTGGCCCTTAACCTTGTATTGTTCCTGCCCTCCAGCCTCTTTCCATTCTCGACCGATGTGTGAAACATTTGCCGTGGTCAGGCGCGGCATTCCATCCCTCTGTTCAAACAGATGCAATCAAACTGCGCTACTGTGCAAATGATGAGCTCATGCAGGAGAATATTAACGGGCTCTCCAAAAAGAAATATTTCCAGCGGCGTTGCCAAGTGAAACGTCCACTCAGAGAATCTGTGGGACTGGTGTAAGTGGGGTTCGGTAGCCGGGCATGTGTCAGTGTAATCATATATGTTTCCGTCTTCATGTGCCCACTTCCGCACCCGGTGTGGGTTTGTGACATTCTTTCTTCATGCGTGTTGCTATGGGCGGGGGTGTGTGTAGGCTTAGCTGTGCCAGGCCTGGGGGTCTTTGGGGACAATGACAAACTCAGACATGTTTAATCAGATCTAATGACACATGAGCGCAGCAGGATTAGCCCAGTTGGCCACTAAGAACTTGTTCTCCACCTCGGCGATCTTTTCCTTCTCCCTATCTAACGCCACTTTAACCTTAAATCTAACCCTAGTATCTCTTTTTCCCCCCCCGGTTACTTTACTTTTTCGTTTGTTGTAGTAGGTGACAGTAATGTATGTGACCTCTCTGCCGTGGTGTACTGCTTGTTAAGCGTGGAAACTGCAGAGCGAGATTAGAAAAATGTCTCACTACACAAATAACAAATGCTAATATTCGGTTAAAAACTTCACCAGTTGTAGTTGTCATCTGCGTCATTGGTTATTTGTTTAGTTATTTATCGGGTGAAATATCTATATCTGCTTGATTTTTCTCTATTACATAACATTGTCGTTGTGTGACATGTGACATGTTATGGGCTAAAAGATTGCAAATTAGACATTAGAATTGGGGGGGGGGACAAAGGAAGTTGGATGCCAATACTGAGCGCAAAATTAGAAAAATGAAGTGTGAAAACAGGATGCAGTTCCTCTAACTTTACATTTTATGTGACTTTCACTGTGACTCAGTCTGGCAGCAGGTTGGCTCCGTGGTTTGAGGTGTCACAGGCGCGAATGAGAAGCGCAATGATTTTTGCTCCCTCTGCTTCATCTAAAAGCTGTAAATGCAGCCGTCTCTGCCGTCTCCTCCGCCTCTCTCCCTCTGTGTTTCCTCACTCTAACTTTGTATGACTGCGGAGGCCAGTTTTGGCTGTGGCCTAGTATCCTAATAAAAACCGCCCTGCCTTTTCATCCTTTTTCTTAAATTAACCGATATGGCCTTCAAACCTGATTTAAGCTCCGGAGCGCGTCCTGGTCTCTAGAAGAGAAAGACGGTGTCGTGTTTAATCCCAGTTTATTCAATCATCAATTCAGCTTTTTACAGTTACAAGTATTCACATCACCACTGACACGATTTACATGCACACGTGGAATCGGGTTACTGTCAGTAATGTTAGGGCAGATCAGATAACATGTTTACATGCGCTGTCGTAATCACTTTTCTCCTCCACCCATTACCATATTCCTAAACATAGAACTTTTTTTTTTTTGCTGCTGTTGAACATTATAAATTTTCCACTGTTCAGGTGTGGGGATTGATTTTTATCAGAAATATTTATTTAATTTTCCTTTCCACAGTGATGTTTATAGTATGTAACTGATAGTGACACCAATGCAGAGCTACAGTAACTTAATGGCTAAGGTTATATAGTACCAGCGATTCTAGCCTCCATATTTGTGACCTGTTTGGTTTTACTTATATGTTATGTATTGACAATTACATTGTCATGTCTGCACTGTTTCCACAGTTTCAACAACCACTGCAGCTTTTCACACTTAGAACCATCACTAGCACATATGAGGTGTCACTGTGAGGTCTCTGCTTTTGAAAATGACTTCAATGATGGGTGACACTTTGTCGTTTTTTTAACTGGTGATAAAAGCCATTACAAGCTACTGTGGCCACTGGACTAAACAGCCAATTCACTTAGTGTCGGAGATGAAGACTAAAGAGAGGAATGAGAAAGCGAGTGCGGGAGAGAATGAATAAGTTAACTGGAGTGTCCTTGGTGTGGAAGGATGGAGCGCTGAGACGTGAGGCTGGGGATAGAGGGAAAGTGTAAGATTCTCTTTCCCAGAATAAACCTCTTGGCATCTTATCCTGCACTGTGCCGCGGCACGGTCAGCATGTCTGTGTGTGTGTTTTTGGCGTTTGTGTGTGCATCGGTCCAGGCAACACGTGAGTCTCCTAAGTGTTTGCTTGTGTGCTTGGCACTGAGGGAAAATTAATCTCTCAGCTGCTGCATAGGTGCAACATATACATGAATTCCTCTGGCTCTGTTTAGGTCTCTGTGTTTACGCCGCTGAATGTGAACTGACATGTTATTGCTTCCAGAGGAGAGTCTCTAGTGCTGCTCTGATCCCTTAAGATTTAGAGCATGCACACTTGTAACTATAACAGAAGGGAGCTGGGATCGCCAGCGAGGATTTAGAGCTAAAGAATGACATTTACTTACATAGGCTCTGACGTTAATTCATGGGAATCGCAGTGTTGCTGTCCAGGCCTGGATTGTTTGTCATAACAGAGGGCTAACACAGCGGCAGCTACGCAGGACGCTAACCGGTTAGCTAGCCTGCGAGCACCAATGATGTCACTTTGTTAGTGGGAATGAACAGGTGCTGCTTGTCCTCAAAGTAGCAGACACAACCCTGGCCAGAAATGCTTGGGAAGCCTCGGTGGTGTGTTCCACTTCACACATGCATGCACACACACACACACACACACACACACACACACACACAGACACAGACACAGACACACACACACACACACACACACACACCGCTTCAGCAGGGACAGCTGGTGCATATAAAACAAGAGTCTCAGCTGAGTGGAGCTGAGCTGAAGGTCTGTGTCGGTGAAAATAGTATTTGGTGTAAGAGCATACCCTTTCCTTCCTCTGATTTTATCGAACCATGTGAACTTGGATGATGATAAGAACATGTGTTGCATTGTCAGAACATGCAACACATGTTGCAGAACAGCCTGTTACCAAGAGGTACAGTGGTAGTTTAGTGCAATACCAGTCGCTTATCGATCTCAGAAAAACCCCTGCACCACAGACAATTCTTTGTTTTGTGCATTTCTGTAAAGATCCAGATCATTTCCCTTAGTTGTGTTGCAGGAAACTGATACTGCACCAATCCTGCAGCCATCCATATTTTAAAAATTCCTCTGTGAAATTCTTCTGTTTGCCTGCATCTAACATTTTAATTGATTACTAAGTGATTTTAAATCTAACATTCAGTTATGTTCATGAGGCTAGAATGAGAAATGATAAGCTTCCAGCTCAGATCATTTGTAAAATTAGTTCGACTTTAAAAGGTATAAAGACGAGAATGACAAACCTACACGATGCACAAGAACTGAAATTCAGTGTTTGTGCAAAAGGGTCAAACATGGTCCATCTTCTTTTGCCCAGTGCTGTGTTCCTTAAAACTCAGTCTCCTGGCTTCTGCGTTATGTAACTAGCACTTCCTGTTTTGAAATGACGCTGCAATCAGCCCATATGCTCTATTTCTTTCCTTTTTTCATGATCTACTCTCTGATCGTGGCGATCTTATTGTTCTCTTTGCATCCTTTGTTGATTTCTTTTATCAGTTTTGCTGTGCTTGCTTTGTGTCTCTCACTGGTTCTTTGATGAATGATTATTTTTTTTTTAGACACACAACTCAACACAGAAATAAAAAGAAAATGCTCAGAAACAGGAAGCGTGTAGTACCCTGCACCCGCCTCCTCTGTAGCTTAAAAAAAAAAGCACAAAAGAAGGAGGAAATGGGAGGATGACTTGGGTATCAGAGAGTACAGGTCCTCTTCATGTCGGTCCAAATGCATCTAGGTTCCCCGGCGTGGTTATCCATCTGAACGGGGCAGATGGACTTCTGATCAGTGGGCAATAAGAGACAATAAGGAAGCTTTAAGAGCTCCATCGCTGCAGTTTCTTATTCTCACCGGGCCGTGACTGACTCTCTCTTCTCCTCTGTGTCCCCCTCACCTCCTCTGTCTTCATGCAGTCCTCCAGCTCAAACTCCAGCAGAGACGAACACGAGAGGAACTGGTCAGCCAAGGGATCATGCCACGTAAGTCTCTGCCTTAAGTCTCTGTGATGCTCAGGGGTTTTGTCAGTGAATCAAACAGTATTGTGTTGTGCAGCTTCCATGATGCCCTGTCAGTGGAGCAAGTTCCACTTTAATATAAATATAAATATATATATATGCCGGTGATTCACATGCTCGACACACACCACAGAAAAAAGATCAAACTGATCCAGTCTCACCTAAAGATAGTTTTTATTTAGTTTTTATTTTTATTTAGTGTGTGGAAGAGCTTAGAAACCCATGCAGACAACTTAGGGAAGTGTGTCTGTGCCTTTGAGTCGAGGACAAAGACTGATTGTGTTGTTGTATGATATCAACACTGAGCTCCGTGTACGGGCCACTGACTCACATGCTGAATGGGCCTTACACTGTATCTGGATATCTACATCTGCTATACAGGATATGTCAGTAAATTGTATCTTCCTGTGTTTGATATCAAAATATCTTCAGCAAATACAATATTATTGTTGAGGCTCTGTTTTTACATTCAATTTTTTTTTGCAGAAAAGGACCTCCCTTATCAGCATGTGTTATGAATTTGTACATTCTGTATGTGTTATATTTCATGGTTTCTTTGCACCACTTTGTGTTATCAAATAGGGCAGCTTCCTCTTCTTCTGTATCCACTTCCTGTTTCAGAGTGCCACACATCATTAGGGGCGTGGACGTGTTTATTAAAATTTTCCTTTCTTTTGTATTTAAAAAAAAAAAAAACTAGCACCCAGCATTCAGCCTTATACAGTATATATGGTAGTTAATCTTCTGTGACCAAGTGATTGTGGAGTAGAAAAAGATACCCACATGGAGGTGGAGTAACTTACATGGTCGCTGTTTGTTCCGTAGAAAGGGAGACAGAATAGTTGTTTCATGTCACGCTTTGCTGTCCACTGCTGTTTGCTAATGGTAACATCTGACCCTGAATTAGCAGGGTCCACTGTAGATGCACTTACAGTAACTAAGCAGAAAGTGTTAGGCATGAAATAATGCACCTGAGTGGACACTCAGACCGAGGGCTCGTTTTAGTGGGCAGCATGGAGTCTCATATTTGACTGTTCAATCGTTACAGTAAATCTGTCTACTTATGCAACAGGCCTCATGCCAGACCATTAGCTGCACTGGACTCAGCATGTACTGGAGGAATATTTCAGTTTCTAGATACTGTTCTGTGGAGATACAGACACTTAATATATAAAGAGAGAAAAAGGGAAGCCGTGGGTTTATAAGAGAGTTATCAAAGACTGTGTTTGCTTCCAACAAAGAGCACTTATTTTGACTGTTGCCTTGAGACTCAGCAAGGTAGAACAAGGACTGTTCAGCTTTCAAGAGCCCAGTTGAATTATTGGACCATAAAGATTGTATGAACTGCTGACGAGCAGCGAGGAGAGGAGGGTGCATCATCATTTATCGACTCTGCGGTGGAATTGTATCACGGTGATATGAACATAAATCGCTACCGTATTGTGATGTTGCGTTTCCCAGCTGTAGAGGAGACAGTGAGTGCTGGGAACTGATGAAGGGCGAGTTCCTGCTGTGGTATCAAATACTCACATTGGTTTTGCAGCAGTAAGTGGTGTGAATGAGTAACTTTCCACCTTCCTTCTCTCATTCTTTCAGGGTATTTTAGGGCAAGGCACTTGACCTCCAATCTGCCGCAGTGATGGACCTAAGTTGCTGCTGTTGCACTGTGTCAATATCTAGTGTGTAAATGTGAAGCGGGGTGATTGTGGACAAGAGGGATACAAAAGAGAATAATTACGGTGGATTAGGAGAGGTTAAATGCATAGATATATGGGTGAACAAGCAATAACAATGCGCCTGTGTCTTTAGGTCAGTCATGTGATGCGTCTGTGTCATAATAGATTGAAAGGTCAGCGTCAGGGTAGTGGAGCTTTTGCAAAGAGTAGTATCGGGTATCGGGTCATGTTCCCACTAATGAAAACGGATTTGAAAACACTATGTATTTGCCGAAGGTGTTTAATACTTTTCTGTCTTGTTTGTTTGATGTTGTCAAATAATTAAATTGTACATTTGTACATTAGTAGCACCAGCTTGTGAGAGCGCTCTTGAATCAACAGATCATTTTGAGAAAGAGAAAGATGGCCACTTGCTCGGCTCGTTCTTCAGGGTAAATCTCTTGTGTTTCACTATAGCCAGAGACACGACACAGGTGTTGTTGTTTGTATTGTTCCTGTTAATTGCATAAATACAGAGTAGAGATTGATGTGACAGTCATAAGGGCCAGCTGTTCAGACATTCAGTTAAATCACTGTTTTGTACTTGTGCAGAAACCGAATAAAAAATAAAAAAAAAGTCAATTATAGCTGTATTGTGTACACACAGACCGAGCAATAACAGAGGGAGTCAGAGGCAGCAGAAGGCGGCAGCTGCAGTAAATATTGCTGTGAAAGTGGAAATACTGTGAGAGACTGAGAAGCTGACGATTACATGTCACCATTCTAAGAAAAGCTCAGTTTTTCCCCTCTCTCTCTCAAAAAAAAAAAAAAACAACATTAAATGATGTTGGTTATGGGAAGTGATCTCAAATTTATGTGCTTTGGAGAGCAGTAAAAGCGTTTTTGTTTTTTTTTCATGGTTAGCGGCTCCTCTGTTCGGTGATAGGAGAAACTCTAGGATCGCCCAAGAGAAACATTTGTTTCACAAAACATTACAGAAAAGTTAAATCCATAAAGAGAATCAGTGACCCAATAAAAAAAAAACAAAATATAATATGAGTCTGAAATGTTGACGAACTAACCTAACTAACGAGACATTAGTTCCAGCAGATGTTAGTGATGGGATCAGCTGAGCGGTTGTTTGTTTTTTGCCGTTATGTTGTGATTTTGACCGTTTGGTTATATCACAACTGGTATGTAGGTCTTCTTCTTTCAACGTCAGGGGGATGTGACACAGGAATGCCTCCCACCCCCACCCAGTCATCTGTGGCACACACACACACACACACACAGGAACATAGAGTTGACGCCCCGCTGTAGCCAGAATGTCCACGCTCGCAAACACACACACACACCCTTGGCACGGATTTCACCAGCTGTTGACCAATCAGACCATTGCTACGTTACATCATTGTAACTGCCACTGTCCTCCGAATATCCTTCCCCAAACAGAGTGAACCTCTTTGTTTGAGTCTGTTTGGCCTCGCCTTTACATTTGAAATGAAAAAGTTTCTAATTTAAAGACTGGGGGCTCGTGTTGTTGCTTTTGAGAACAGCCAAATACAAGCCACAACTGATACACACACACAAATATCAGATAGATATTTACACCCCCACAAACGCACTAGGTACATTACTGAGAGTTAGAGCAGTGATGAATGTAGATAATCTTTGTGTGTGGCGGTCGATGCATCAGTCCACACTCTCTCCTCTGTCTTCACGCTCCTTTTTAAAGATCAGCTCCAGACTATTGGGCATCAAGAATTGATATCCCTCAGACTCCCAGGCACAGTCCATCTATCAGACTTAACGCAGACAGTTGGCCTTTGAAATAGTTTACATTGTCTGCAATCTACAAATCTTGAAAAGTCAACATCGCGTAAGGAGTATTTTCTGTTTAAAATATCCATAAAACTGTCGCGAAGCATCCCTCTGTCCATGCTGATTTTAGAATATGTAAGACTTTAATCAGGGTATATGAGTATTTGGCATGTGAAAAGATTTTGCCGTTGTGTGTGTTGGAATTCGTGCCTCTGCAAAATGCATCCAAATGTAGGAAAAACTGTATGGAACAATGTGACTGACTGAGCTCCCACAGGGGAGTATGGTTATATTTTGGCTAATGAAACTGCTGAGTTGGGGTTTGGTCACGGTTACAGTCATGTGGTTCCATGAGGTATGGCTGACTGTTTGCTCCCGTAAAAACTTTACTTTCCTAAGCCAAGCTAGCGCCAACGACTGCTAACTGAACACTTTCTGCAGCTGCTCCAATGTAAAAGCCGCAAGGATCCGAGCAGCATAGTAACAGCCCACAGAAAACAACTGCACTTTCAATTTTCTTAGTGATAATAGAATTAGGCTTGGACTGCAGAAAGACTGCTTTATTCCTGCACACACAGCATGCTGCGCAGGCCCGTCAGCCCACTGAGCTGTGATATGAGTGTGTGGTTTAGAAATAGCAGTCTGGACCTTCTCGTCTGCAGCCTCTTCTGCTTTGAATCTGTCTTCCTCTATAGCTGTATGTGTTCACTCGTTGTCACTTGCTGAAAGGAGCATCACGACACAAGTCTGTGCGAGTCTGTGCTGCACTCATCTCCATCTCTCCACCCACCCCCCACCCCCCCATCCCTCTCTCCATGCAGCACTGAAAAGCCCGGCAGCCTTTCACGAACAGCGGAGGAGTCTGGAGCGAGCGAGGGTGAGTGTCTTACGCACAGTACAAACATACGTGAAACATATGTACTGTACAAACAGCATAACACAAAGTAATTGAATTCTACTTTTATTATAGACACTTATCAGGATCTAAATCAAAACCATGGGTGGTCCACAAACCACCCATGGTATGAAGCCACATTAACCATCAGGGTTGCATAGTATTAACAGCATGTTTCTTTGTTTTTTCTTTTAATAGTGAGGTTCAGACTGACATGCAACATGCCAACATGTAATTTTGCTTAGTGAAAATTGTGATTAATTATCTGCATCTGTGTCACACTCTTTAGCTTGATGCTTTAGCATTAGCCATGAGAACCGTCCCAAACAAAGCTGCATTAACTTCACCCACAAAAATAAAAAAGGAAAAGGAAAAGAAATGCACGTGATGGCACGTTGCTTAATACTTGCTATCTGGTGAGTGTCATGCTGAGACACTACGACAGTGCAACCAACATGGCGACTAAAAAAACTATGTGATCAGTAGCAGTTTATTGAATTGTAACAAGTGTCCATTTTTTTCTTTATCATCTTCCCTACAACCTTTATTCTCTCTCATCCTTCTGCTTGTGATCCTCTGTCTTCCATTTGCTCCCCCACCATGATGTGTGCGTCTCCTGTGTTTTCCCCCAGACCGAGGACTATCTGAAGAGGAAGATCCGGAGTCGCCCTGAGCGCTCCGAGCTCGTCAGGATGCACATTCTGGAGGGTGAGTTTTTAACCTTTAGATTCAGAAGGATTCTCTTAGTGAGAACAAAAGTGTAGAGTGAAAGGCTGAAGTCAGTCAGGTGAAATACACGAAACTTCATTTTAAAAGGAATCATACATTAAACAAAACAGTTCCTACTTTGTATTTACTCTTGGACTTTGGTTAAACTGTAATTTCTTATTATTTGACAGCAACATTTGAGTTTGAAATAAGGCCTTTCCCATGCTCCGCAGTTGTGTCTGCATGTGTTTGTCTCCATGAGGTGATGTGTTTGTTTTATATACCAGCTTGGTGCCGTTCAACTTGTTGTCCCCCGGTTAATGTAAAGTCTCAGATAGATATTTTCTCTTTCAAGTAGCAGCTGGTTTCTTTTTGGTTTGGTTTTTAAATAGAGCTTGAATTCTAATTCAGGAAGTGCTTAAAAAAAAAGAGGCCCAAAACACAGTATCTGTGATCTCCAGAAAGCCAGCTTCCTGTCTCTGTGGATTTTTTTCACAATATTAACATGGACTACAATATATGTCAATTTATATCCCACGGGTACGAAGCACTTACATGCTGCCATCTTGTTATATTATAGGTCAAACTGAACCGCTAGATGAATGAATTTGCGTGCATGCATGTTGTTGTGTTGTTTCCTGCACAGAGACGTCAGCAGAGCCGTCCCTGCAGGCCAAGCAACTGCAGCTGAAGAGAGCACGACTGGCCGACGACCTCAACGACAAGATCTCCCACAGACCAGGTCCCATCGAACTGGTTCACAAGAACATCCTGTCTGTCACCTGCCCTCTGCAGCACTCACTGCTGGGTGGGTACACACACCTCACAACATTCAGTCGCACACACTTATTAACAGTCTAAACGGTCACATGTCCTTGCAGAAAGTGCACACATCCAATAAGAACATTGGTGCGGAGTCACATTTACAATCATTATCACACAATACAAGCACACACAGATACACACAACCATGCAGTCACAAAGACGGTCAGGAGCAGTCACAAAGCCCAACCAACAAACAGCACAGTCGAACGTTTGTACACACACACACACACACACACACATATATACATTCAGACACATTATTTATCCAGGCTGAATTGTTTAAAGAGACAGACAGCAGAGTTTAGCAAGTACAAATAAAGGAAGAACAAAACATTCCCAAGAAAACTCTTTTCTCGTCCCTTTATGACGCTCAAACGAGCTGCAGCAGAGATACACACTTTTACACAGCACCTGCGGGATTCATAAAGACTGGCGAACAAAATATGGAAGTCCTAAAGGTGCATTCAGACTGCATGTAAAGTGGTTTTGGCCACACCTAACTGTTGGACGCTTGGTGAATTCATTGGAGCGTACAGCTCAGGGATGAGTGCTCGAGTTAAAACATGTTCACCTCTATTGTTTCATTACCTTAAACCTCACATTCAGTCTGAACACACCTTTAGTTACAACATTCGGGTGTCCACATACATTTGTAATACAGTATATTGGAGGTGAGTGTGTGAACACATACTGCTTAGTAGCCCAGGGTTTCATCATCTCAGTGGATGTGATAATAAAAACTAAACCACACAACTTTTGACTAATAAGTCACAGAAATGACACAATGTCTTTATGTGCACATAATACTGTTTTGAAACTTGGTCAGGCATTACTTCTCTAAACTTACTCATTGCTGTTTTGCAATGTTCATCACAGAGACCATGTTACAGATTGTGAGGGAATGAACTGCTTGACTTCTGTGGTTTGGGAAAATTCTTAGACTCACAATCCATTTTCACTTTTTTACTGGAGAGAGAAGTTCATGAGAAATCACCAAAGAGACGCCACCGTGACTCAGTTCATTGAATCTGGAAACACTTCTGCTCTGTCACAGATTCTCCAAAGGGAGCCGGGGGAGAGAGCTCGTCTTTAGATGAAGACAGCAGTGATGCTCTGTCACCAGATCAGCTGACCAATCACGATTCTCCCCTGAGTGCCGTTCCCCAGTTGTCCCCCTCTGATGCACTCACCCAGAATGGGGACATTTCTCCCACACAGGTATCATCACAGGAGAGACTCACTTAAAGTTGAAATTATTATTTAACAAAACAAAAAATTCAAATGAAATGAATTTGCCAAGCGGTGGATAAACATGACTGCGCCATTAACCAGAGTCATTCTTTCCTCAGTTCCTTACTCAGCCCCCTCCTCCACCTCCTCCACCACCTCCTCCCCAGGTGAATGGGTCACCCGCCTCCCCACCCCCAAAATTGACAAATGGAACGACGGTGAACTCTCGTCCCTCTACTGGACAGATCAAGGTGCGCAAACGCTGGTTATTTTCCTGTCTTCATACACAATAATGCAGCATTAGGTTGTTTCAAATTGAACATCCTGCAGATTTGATGACTTATTAATAAATGTGACCTTGATCTTTATTTGCGGAGCAGCTATTACCGGCTAACGCTCCCTCATGTCTTCTTTCCCTTACTTCCTCCTCCATGAACACATTTCTCACGTTCTGTCCCCAGTCTCAGGCTAAGACGAGTTCAGATCGTCCCCCGCAGAGGTCTAAGAAACCAAAGGACAGCAAACCCAAGGTCAGCATGTGCTTTGTTTCATTTTCATTCTGACAGGCACTGACACAGGATTCATGACTCCGATGAATAATATTCATCCAAAATACTGGAGTATGAAGAGACATCGAATAATGGCAGCTGTCGGCACATCATTTTCAGCCTGCCTCATTACAGCAGTTCAGCTCTTGTTTTCATGTCGGTTCCTGTAAAACCTAAACTTAAACATTTTCACATTTAACATCATACATGGAGAAATCCATCATAGAAGAGGAAGATGTACCAGTTTCTGCAACCGCAGGTTCCTCAGTACCAGAAACACACACTTGTTCTTTTCAACTGGAACTATTTTTTTGTTGTAGTTATGTTATTACCAATGATCTGTCCTTTTGTCAAAGTTTTATTCAGAGTTTTAAAAAATGTCCAGAAAGGTTTCAGATATCAGTAACGTATGTAGATCGATGAGTATCGCACATTAAGGACATCTACTAGTGTAAAAGTATAAAAGAGTGGAATTGTCCTTTGAACTCTCTCCGTCATCTGGGTGTAGGTGAAGAAGCTGAAGTACCACCAGTACATCCCTCCAGACCAGAAAGCAGACAAGGAGCGTCCGCCACAGATGGACTCGTCGTACGCGAAGCTCCTTCAGCAGCAGCAGCTCTTCCTGCAGCTGCAGATCCTCAGCCAGCAACAGCAGCACTACAACTACCACACCATCCTGCCCGCGCCTCCCAAGTGAGTGTCAAGCACCACAGTGGTAATACTAATAAGAAAAAAATATCGCTGAGCATTCCCTGTTCCTTCAGAGAAGTAGGAGAGATGGATATTCACACTTTCTCGTTTTCTGGCTCCTCTCCAGGCCTCCAACCGAGCAGCCCCCCACAACCAACTCTGGCCCCTCCCCCTCCCGCAGCGTTCCCACAACGACCACCATGGCGTCCTCCAGTCAGAGCGGGACTGCCCGTCAGAGCCAAGCTGCAGTGGGAGGAGCCAAACCCGGCACTCTGCCAGCCAACCTGGATGAGTTCAAAGTAATTCAAACAACTAAATTAACTGAATACATTTTTAAGATGTTTCAGCTACTTGTAGTCATCTATCGAAGGAGATCAGGAAGTGTGTTGCCGACTCACACAATGATCACTAAGTGCTTTTTGATCTATAAAGTCCAAGTTCAAGAACATGTTGAATTTTACTGCAAAATTTGGCAGCTGACTATTATTATTTTATGTGTAAAAGAAATTTTTACTAGTAACGTCAAACATTGCTGTCCCATCACACCTACTGGAAATGCTATTTAAAGGTCCAACAAAATCATGTCTTGTGACTGATTTGAAACATTTGAAGAGTCCAAGTGTCAAATAGAGAAAAATGTCATGGGTTTAACCCCTCAGATTAGTCATAGGACCTTTTTGAGAGGCCAGGCTCCCAGATGGGGAACCTCAGGCTTATCAATTGTTTTCTTCTTTCACTTTGAGTCAATGGTTGTTTGGTTTTTCATCAGGTCGCTGAGCTGAAACAGGAACTGAAGTTACGTGGTTTGACCGTCTCAGGCACCAAGAACGATCTCATTGAGAGGCTCCGCCACTACCAGGAGCAAAATTGCGGCAACGCAGTGGTTTTGAAGAATGGCATATTGCAGCAGAGCCAGCAGGGCGCTAACTCAGCCGCTAGCACCATCACATCCTCTCCGACCACAACTACCACCGCTGACCACCAGTCAGGAGAGGGCGGGTTTAAGTTAGCGTTGTCCTCGTTGGCTCATGCGGTCCCTGGGAGAGTCATGCGTTTTGGCAGCACCAGCTCCAGCCCTCCCGTGTCACCTACTCCGTCTGAGAGGTCGCTGGCAGGGATGAGTCCAGACGAGACAAGCTGCAATGGAGACATGTTTGGAGAGATGGTGAGATCTGTATGTGAAGCAAATGGCATGTTTATGATTAAATTACTTTTTTTTATGTAGTCTCTTAGTTCCTAACATCCTCTTCTTGTCCTGTTCTCCTTCAGGTGAGCTCTCCCTTGACTCAACTCACCCTGCACCCATCTCCTCAGCACCCGTCAAACATCTCTCCGCTCTCCAAGGTCAAAGAGGAGATCCAGAGCCCATGCAGCCTGTCCAGGTCTTCAGCTGCCTCGCGTCAGACTCCAGAGCCCCTGCCAGGGGTAGCCATGGACACGTCTTCCATGGACAAAGACCAGATGCTCCAGGAGAAAGACAAACAGATCGAGGAGTTGACCAGGATGCTGAGGCAGAAGCAGAGGCTAGTGGAGACCCTCAGGTCCCAGCTGGAGCAGGGAAAAATGGCAGTTGGATTAGTCTCAGAGAAGGAAGGAGGAGAGAAGAGCAAAACATCCCCAGAGGTTAAACTTCAAACTCTAATAAAAGCCTCGGCCATTCAACCCCCGACTCTCCCCAACGGCATTGTGGTGAAGGTGAAGAAGGAGGTGGAGTCTGAGGAAGAAATGGAGGGAGTAACGGAGGAGGCCCTGGGAAAGAAGCTGGCCCAGCCGATGCAGTGCTCTCAAGAGACTCTGCTCAGGCTGCAGCAGATTCATCGTCTGCAGGTCCAACAAGCTGAACAGCAGAAACAGCAGCTACTACAACAACAACCCAAACAGCAGCAGAGTCAGGTGCAACTGCAGAGGGTGCCGGAGGCTAAAGCAAACCCTCAAAAACAACAACAGCAGAAGAAAGAAGCTCAAATCCTGCTCCATCAGCAGCAGCAACTCCAGCAGCTCATCATACAGCAAACCCAACAGAAACAGCTGCAGGCCCAGCAGAAGTTAGCACAGCAGAAGCTGGCCCAGCAGAAACTCACGCAACAGAAGCTCGTGCAGCAGAACCAGCTCAAACAGACCCAAGGGCAAGTTCAACAGAGCCAGCAGAAGAGCCAAGTTCAGCTGAAGCAGGTCCAGGTGCAGATCCAGAACCAGACGGCGGCAAGCCAGAAGCCTGCAGTGACCCAAGCCCAGCAGAGGAAACAGCTGAAGACTCAGCAGAGGCAGCAGCAGAAACAGCAGACGGCAGCTGTCGCCACGCAACAGGTGAAGACCCTGACCACATTCAGCACCATCGTCAGCCCTCGCTGAGTGTCATTATAATTTAGAGAGAGTAGAATAATTTGTGCAGCTAACGTTGCTCATATGTTGAAGTTTCATCATGTTTTAACGTCATCGAGAATCTTAATTATATCAAAATATTAAAATGGAAAAACGTCCTGTTTCATTTCCAGGTGACTCCGGTCTTCATCAACCAACAGAACAGCACTCAGATCCACACTCAGGCCATTTCATTAGACCTCCTCAAGGCCAACGGCACACCCACGCTGGTCGCCGACAGCAACGGCAACCACTACCTGATCGCTCTCACCAGTCACACCACAGATGGACAGAATGGAGTGTCTTCATTGGCCAAAACCAACGGACGCATCACGCTGCAGGTACGGTAAAATGTATATTCTCTGATGGACTGTGCCGGGTTAATGTGCGGTGAAATATTTATCTGAATCTTCCTCCGCTCCTCGTTCTTTTGCAGAGATTGCAGTCGACTCCAAGTAAACTCCCCAGCACCGACAGCCAATCAAAAGAGCAGACAGAGGCCGAGCCTGTGAGCCAGCCAATCAAAAAGGTACGACCCAGACTCAGGATGTCACTATAAAACATGCTTTTTAATCACTCTTTTGACAGTACACATGTATGTTCCCATGTTACCCAACTTTTTAACTTTTAACATCTCACCAAATAGATTCATTATTCATCATAAGATTTAAAGTTGTAATGTTTTAGATTATAGTTTTGAATGACCTATCTGAGACAGTTTTATCATATTGAGTTCTTAAAACTAATTTTGTAGACTTATATTTACACATACACATATATAAATGAATCATAATTATTTTACAGTTTTTAAATTTTCAGTCTTCCCTTTTATCTTGTTTTTTTAAATCAAATTCACAATTTTTTTTCCTGTCTTCTACAAAGTAAATACCTTAATGTCGTGTATAAATAACATGATGGAAGTATTTGATTTGAAGTTATCATTCAATAAAACAGTTTGGCTGTTAATCAGAGGGTTGATGGTTCAAACCGTAGTTGTGTGTCACTGAAGTCAAGACACTGAACCCTAAATTGCTCCCACTGTGTGTGAAGCAGCACCGTCTCCATCCTCCAGGCAGTAACATCCCTCTGCCACAAGGTGTCGCCACCAACACAGTTAATCAAAATCAAACTGTGAACCGATGAAATGTGAAGAAGCAGCCTGTTACTCAGAGATAATGCTTCACCAGCCAATCACAGTTGAGTATTCAACATATGTCTCTGCCATGTTTTTCTCTTCAGGGACAGAAGGCGGGGCTGCACCTGGACACTAATGGTGTTCCACAGCCCAGCCTGTCAGCCACAGCTCCGCCCAACCTGCAGCCTTTCTTCGACGACATGTCGGACAGCGAAAGCCAAAGCAGCTTAATCTCATCTCTCAAGGTAACACCAGCGTCTTCTCCTCCTCCGCTCCTGGCATTTCCCGTCGTCGCGTCATCTCTACTGCTCAGTCTACTGCTCCACATGTTGTAAACTTCATTAACCTTTTTCTCCTTGTTTCTTCTCTTTTCCTTTTTCATTTCATCACTTCATCACTCCATCCTGGCAGAGAGAGGAGGTGTGTCCGCCTTACGACCGGCACACACTGTTCACCCCTCCCTCTCCCAAACCCAACACCTCCCTTCCCACTCAACGCTCCAAAGTATGTCCTCTAGCATGTCTTTTCTTTCCATCTCTCCTTTAATGTTGTTCTTTTCTCTCTGTCTCTCCATTTTCTATCTTATTTCTTCACTCTGAATTTTATGTGCACATCAACTTTGAAGTGTGTCTGTCATCAGTTTGATGTTTTGTGTCTTCCAGTTTTCGTCTTTTTTGATGTTATGTTGTGTATTTTTGATGTTGCCCACTTTTCTCAGTCTGCCTTCACTTTTAGTTATTGCCTACATTTCCCAGAATACTTCAGGCAGCCCCCAGAGAGCTGTTTACTTTAATTCAGATTTGAGACACCTGCAGGGTAGAAAGAGTGACTTGATGGTCAGTCAAACTAATCTGTTATATATTTATCTGCCAATGTGCATAGCAACGTATTGAGAATCGGCCTCATTGAATATGTTTTCATATGACATATGATGTGTGTGGGTAAGAGTGTGCAATGACAGAAACTCCTAATGAAAGGCTGCTGCGGTTTAAAAAGGTTTGGGAACTGCTGGTTTAGATAAAGGAAAACAGGCTGCACACCACATTGTTAGATTGTTGTAAAATTGCAGCTGTAATATGATGTCATCTACATTCGGCCGGTTATCGAATGAAATAAGAAAAAATATAAAGCAAAGAAACAAAATGAGCTGCAAAATGCAGAGTTTATCTCTGTATTTCACGAGGTGGAGTTGGTTTCACTGCAGGTTTGTCTGTTGTGCATCGTGTTTGTTTACTTGGTGGCTGAGGAATAATGTGTTCCTCTCTGTTTGCAGGAGAATGGCGTGAATAGTCAGCACATGGACGACCTGTTTGACATCCTGCTGAAGAGTGGAGGTAATGAACTCTTGGAGACACGGAGAGAAAGACGTCCTGAGTCTGTCGTCTCCGGTTGTTGATGAGCTTTTTCTCTTTCTGTCCTTCAGAGATCCCTGGCTTCAAGGCCAACCCGGACCCTTCCCTCGCCCCTCTCCACTCTGACCCGCCCTCCCCATCTTCTCCCCCATCCCCCCTCCACCTTTCCCCTCCCACCCCTACAGAGCCCCTCATCTCCCCTCAGCCCTCCGTGGGAGAGCCCTGCGCCGGCAGTGGACGCCTGGAGGACTTCCTGGAGAGCACCACTGGCGCCCCTCTGCTGGGCGTGGAGCCCGATGGCGGCCTGACGCTGATCGACGACCTGCACAGCCAAATGCTGAGCACGCCCAGCATCCTGGACCACCCTCCCTCCCCCATGGACACATCCGACCTGGGCTTCTCCCCCCATTCCACAGGGTTGGACTTTGGCGACGCCGCCTTGGACAGCATGGACTGGCTGGATATTTCCATGGTGGGGAGCGCCAGCGGAGGGAGCGGGGGCGGCGGAGGCGGAAGAGGGGGAGGAGGAGGAGCTGGTGCAGGAGACGGAGGGACAAGTCTGGCCCCGCTGGCGCCGCACACTCCGCCGAGCGTCTTCTCAGCTGATTTTCTGGACAGCACGGACCTGCAGCTGCACTGGGAGTCGTGTCTGTAGCTCGGCACACAGACGCACTCACACACACACACACACACACACGCACACACACACACACACTCGCTCACACTGTGTACAGGCTCTGTCTTTATTTCATGCACATACAGAAACCTTCTCTATGCTGTCTCTACCACTCGAGGGGTCACTGGCACATGCAAACACGCACACACACACACACACACACACACACATTTACACAATTTGCCCTGTCTTTCACTGGCTGTTACTGTATGCAGGATGAGGTGAAAAAAGAAACATAGAAATTAAATTCATAGAAAGGACTTGAATTTGGTGGGACTGAAGTGGACTTTGAATTTTAATTCTATGGGGGATTCATACAGGAGACTGTAAAATCCCATCACCTGCATTTATAACCAGGTTAAATTGAACCAGCAGAAAACTGTAGGTCACTGTAATAACGTCATTTCATCCCTTGGAAAACGGTTTGAGGAGGGACCGTCAGCGGCGTTTTACTCCGGCTCCTCGAGATGGCAGAGTGTGTGTCAGTGCCTCCTAAACTTTGCACTTATGCTGAATCTGATTGGTTTAAAGGGGGGGGGGGGCGGGCGTTCGGGGGCCGACAGCTCAATCTTAGCGCTGTGTGGTGAGGGCTGAGTCAATGCCACGATGTGCTAGATTGATCGGTTGATGCTGTGAAAAGAAAGAGCGCAGTTGGTGGTCTCGTCACCTCACCGTGGTAACCTGAACCCCGCCCACACTAGTCAAAAACAAAAACAAAACAAAAAAAACAACCGTCATTGGTTGACAGTTGCTATTGAAATGAACCATATCAGTGGCGACAGTTTGAATTGAAGCCTCAGTGGAGGTTGCTTATTATTGGTAACATTATGGTAGACCACTATGTATTGCTGTATATGGGGTGTATATTATCAATTGTCCATATGACTATTTTTCTTTGCTGGTTGCTTTAGAGTCGAGCTGGCCGGCTGGGGAACATAGGGTGAGGGCGGGGCTTCCAAAATCCTTGGACCTTGTCATTTTTTAAAGAAAAAAAGTTAAAAAAATAAACATACTATAAAAACTCTAAGATGTGTCTGTGTTTGTTTTGCACATTCACAACACATGTCTCATAATATATCTTATATATGTTCACGTTCAATACGTTCGTTTACTATTCAACTCTTTAAATCTGGACAATAAAAGTTGACAAACACAGCAGTTATTTTACAAAGAAGAACATCTGAGTTTGCTTTATTAGTGCGATTTATTATTAAATCATTACTAACCCGCTCCACCTGTTTGAGTGATCCTGGTGATGAAGAGAAAGGCCACTAGAGGGCGCCATTGTTCAGAAATCAGCTGTCTTCACCTTCCGTATAGAAGCCATCTGAATATCAACAAGTGTGGTGGATGTTTCCAAATTTTAGTTTTGCTTACAAAAACTACAAATACAAATTTTAGTTGTCTTTTTTTTTTTACAGCACCAAATAAAACACTTGCACTAAAACAAAAACAGGATATTTACACATTTCTGAAGAGTATTTGTTGGTGTCTTATTCTTACTGTACAAAGTATTGCAGTCATCGCAGCACCACTATAGAGCTGGGTCAACACACTGAACATTTTCGAAGTGACCTTGTGCACATTACAGGACAAATACTTCAATATCAAGTCAGTTTATTTTTCAATACTTGGCTTCTTAAAGAAGTAAATAATAACTTGTGGTTCACACACACACACACACACACACACACACACGGTTTTGTACCTCTATGGTTTCCTCACTCACTGCAGTTGTGTTGCATTATTTGTCACTGTTTTACACCTTTGTTTTTCAGCTCGACAGAACTGCAGAACATTGTTTACTGGTTCCTGGTGAGACTTTCACAGTTTCTGTTTTTCCGACTCAGAAAATGAAACAGCCTCTGACACTTTCTGTTGCACATGACAAGCTGTGTTCACAAAGCATCAGTTCAGCTTTAAAGACACGTCTGAGTACAGAATTTACCAAGGTGGGGAAGGAAGCTCAGTTTTGTATTATTATTATAATATTATAAAACGTAAGACCCTATATATATATATGACAACAGTTGTATAAAGCCTTTTGTGGCTATAGAGGAAGCTGTGTGAGGTCAGTCCAAGCAGCTAGAATACATTAGCTGCTATTATCATAATAAGCCTCAATCTCTGACTGAACTGTCTGTAGTCAGAGTTGCATTGTGGGTAGTGTAGGCACCAGGTTTTGAAAAGGAAGAAGAATGGTTAGGATAAAAAAAACCACTGCACCTCTGGTTCTGCTACAGAGAATGTGTCAAACAAAGGTGGACTCAAGCAACAGGGGCATCTTTCCAAAACGGCCATCTTCCTGTGGCACAGTCCTGCAGGGAGGAATCCTCCATGAAAAGAGACTAATTTCAAAACCCGCAGGAGCCTCGATAGACCATGAATTATGTGGAGACGTGTTGTTAATTAGAGAGCTCTTGTTCTGAACAGTGAGGATGAAGTGACCTCTTCACCCTCTCCTCCTCTTTCTTTTCTTTGCAACATTGACTGAACCGAGCTCTAATGCCCCCCCCCCCAGTCTTTCAAGCCTCACTCGGGCAGCCCCTATCATCTCTCAAAGACCCTGATGAACCGTCAGTAGTCCTCAAACACACACACACACACACACACACACTGAATCCAACACACAGATACTTGATGCACGGCACGCAAACATGCAACCAGCTCAGTACAATTACAAATTCACTTCACACACACACACACACACAGGTCACAGCAGCTCCCCAGTGTAGCATCAGTCCCCCCCCCCCCACACCTCTCTCCCCCTCTCTTTCTCTCGCCCCCTCTCTCGCCCATACACAAAGCAGATAAAAGTCCCGAGGCCATGCCACTAATTAACTACAGTGAGCTCCAAAGGGCCACGGCGCCACGAGGGCTAAAGATCTCCTCTGTATTCCACATCCCACTGACAGGAGCCTGCCACCCTGCAGCCAGCAGTCACGCACGATGTTTAATCACACGTGTTCAGAAAAACCCTCAATCACCAAAATATGAACGTTGAGAATGAATTAAAATGGTATTTTAATAAAAAAAAAAATTTGCTTTTTTTAATTTATTTTTTTCATATGTTGATTACATTTAGTGTCACACAAGTTTTTTAATATTTTCTGCGAAGCTACTTCCCTTTGAGGAGTGGTCAGACAGTCGGGGAAATGCGCTGATTTGGGCTTCACTGTGCGGCATGGCGTTTGTGCACCAGAAGGCTGTTTTCACATGTTTTGAAATGAAAAAATATTTTACACATATGCATATTCATTGATTTTGGCTTTTTCAATAAGAAAGGGAAGAAGGAGTAGATGTAATTTTAAGATTTCTTTTTCAATGAAGTAAGTGAACTTTCCATGTAAAACCCACAAGAGACGCGGGTTACTGTTTGAAGCCGAGTATTTTCATGTCATTAATCATGTCTGGTCCCCCTGGTTAGGCGGATCTTTAAAGTTGAATGTAAATGATTCTAATAACAGATTTACAGAGTTACAGATCCAGCACTGGTGTGAGGTCAAGCACCAGCCTCAGGTAACTATGATGTCATCGCTGTGATTTCATCAGGGGATATTTTCTCAGGCTTGACTAAAGCTGCTCAAGGGTCAAAGGTTAAGAAGTGATCCTCACAATTTTATCTTGACTTATGACTTGTGTCACCATCTTTACTGTGGGTGCACTCCGTTGGTGGTTCATGGTGATCATGTTGTCCTTTACTGACTTTAATATCATGCATAACAAACAATGGAAGGTGCGACATCTCATGTATGTGTTTAGATATTGAATCACACCGATCAGATCCAGCGCTTTCGTGCATCATGTTCCCACGTTATCGAGCAAACAACCCTTAACGTGCACATGTTGTGTTTTTTTTGTTTGTTTGTTTGTCTGTTCAACTGAACCATTCTGTTTTTCAGGAAGAGCAACTGTGTCTCGCCGTGCCGCCGTCTGCCTTTTCGTGTGAAGTTGTATGATGTGAGAGGAACAGTCAGGTTGGGGTGGATCCTGCTGCGGCTGCGGAGCCTTTGATAGCAGAGGATGTGAAGGCTGACATTTGCACGGGCAGGGGGGAGATGGAGATGGCGGCAGGGGGAGGGGGATCTCGGTGGAAAGAGGGAGGAGGCACTGAGAGAATTGCGGGAGTTTGTTCTACACCTGTTTGTTTGAAGGAAACAGAGTATGTGGGCAAAAAAGAGAGAGCGAGACAGTCGCAGAGGAGAACGTGCACACGGAGCTCACAGAACACAGTCACTGAGCTCTTTGAACTAAATGCAGTCCTCTGATCCACACTCAGTTACCTAATTACAATTCCATTTTAATTGTTAGGCACAGGTGACAATTTGTGGCATGTTTGTGTGTGTGTGTGTGTGTGTGCTGTGGGGGGGGGGGGATCATAAACAAGTCAGCAAGAATTAAAAGAAAAAACCTCAGTGTCTTGGGAAAAAATGTGAAAAGCTATTGTTGCACTTGACTTAAAGCTGCACTAATCAATAATTTATATTAACAGTGGATTACATGACTGTGTGTAATATGAGAGGAATCACTTAGTCCTCAATGTTCAGGCCAATCACACAACTCTGTAGTTCCCCTCACCTCTACACAGCATCGTTGTGTCTTTCAGCTCATTGTTTTGGTTTCTCTGCGCAGGAGAGAAAATTTACAAACAGCCCCATTAACTTAACTTAACTTTTTACTTTACTTTACTTTTTTACTTTACTTTACTTTCAAGCATAAACAAACTGCAGTAGACCCTCACTCACTCTTAACTTGACTGTAATGTTAATACCTTCACTGTTGAGTCACACTGCAACAATTTATAATATCAAGAAGAAGAAAGGAGCGCACCAAAAAAATCCCACACCCTGCTCATTTAACATAAAAAGGCTTGAGCACCGACATTTGCTCCATGTTGTGTCTCAGTTAAGAGTAGTGTGCTGGTTTGTTGCCCTGCAGCCAAAGACTAGCTGTGAGGAGAGATGCAACAACAGCACGAACAATAGAAAAACAACTTTCTTTTTAATGCGCTTTAAATTCAAACTCGACAACACAAAATAACTGCTTCAGTCCCGACATGACAAATTGGGTGGCATCATACTAGCCTCTGGGAGGGACGGCTGCACTCCCGCGTGAACACTCATTACGTAATCAAGGACTCAAGTCTTTTAACATAACCTTGGGACAGCTGAACAGTGTGAGGGAGAGTTACGTAACGCAGCCATGTTGGCCTGATTTAGAGGTTTTTGTTTTGAACTCCACAGATGTTGGGGGGGGGGTGTGGTGAAATGCTGACCTAAAAAAACACAAAATATTGTAGGTCAGGTCAATTACACAGGCTGCAGAGGAAGTTTAGGTGTGAAAAACAAGTTTCAGCATGAATGTCGAGTTCGACACAATCACCCGCTATGTCAGCTCTACTCTGGATCAATGGATCTTCATTAGTAAACAAGAGGTGTCAGACTGTTTGACGTGAAGCTTGGGCCCATTGGAGCTGACTGGTGTCCAGTGACTGATGTGAGATAAATGGGTTTTTCTATAGTTTGTTTGGGAAAACACATAAACTCCACATACACATCATAACATTTCCAAAACTTTGTAGGTTAAGAAAAAAAGAGAAGCTTAATTTCCACTTGGTCAGATCGTTACAGTAAATGGGTTTGGCAGCTCATGGTTCAGTTCAACGGTACACTGTGTCTTTGTCAATGGTCTGATACGGGGTTAGGACATGATACTACGGACATGATGAGAGGACAATATGAAAGTAGGTTCATCACAATGGAAGCATCAATTAATTGACTGGTCCATCCCAAACAGCCCTGAGCTCTGAGTTTAATTGGAGGGAAACTTCAGCTCAGACGCCTGATGAGAGCGAGAGAACAGAGACGTGATCAGACCGATTGTACTGGGAGTCAGTTACATTAATTAGTACAGTAGGATTGTGGGTACAGTAAAAGTAGAAAATGAATTCTAGGAATATTTTTATGTTGCTTATATATATATATATATTATACTGTCATCATACATTGTGTTATCTGGAACAGACCATGAAAAGCAGCATCAAAAGCTCCACTATGTGTTTACCCCACATCCGGCTACAAGTTTCTCTCTGTTAAAAACAAATTAAAACTTTCTGGGATCATCGAGCACCAACCAGTCACTCACTATCAGACGGCTGTACCCAGACAGTAAGACGTAATCACACAGGACACGTTACACCCCCTCCATAACTCATTCCAACTTATAAAAAGCCTCTAGCCAGGACAAATATATTCAAAAAGTCAGCTGCCATTATCATGATGAACAAGCTATGAAGGAATTAGTACCAACACATGCGCATATTTGCACTTTGGCATTTCCTGTACAGCTAAACTGTTCTTAACAGTTCATTTACCCAATTATGATTTTGAAATCTAGGAATAAAACAACCTGCGAGCAGATTTTTAAACAAGCACGGTTAGTCAAACGTATTTGGAGGAGGTGTGTGTGTGTGTAAAACATATTTAAAAACACACACACTTCTGGGTGAAATTACATTGGTGGCCTGGGAGTGATGATGGCTATTTATTAACATGCAGCCGATATAATGACATTCAACACTTTCATCCCTGTGAGACTCTGAGTGATTAAGAGGGAAAAGTGAAAAAAATAAAAAAAAATGTGGGAGAGAGTGAGAGATGTAAACGAGTGGAGGGGAAGGCGATATAGATGTATGTATAAATAAAAACAATGAGCAGCAGTGGGAGCGAGGGAGGGAAAAAGAAAAGGGAGAGCCATTGGAGACCCCAGAGAGGAGAGAGGAGCTGCAGCGTTGTGGTGTGTTGTTCAGTGTGATTAACTCCAGAGAAAGAAGCCTGCTGGAGGACTTACCAAAATAGCTGCTCCCTATTAAAATCAACTACAGCGACTGCCACTCACCTGGCTGCTGCTTAGCATTGCAAATGTACACGACGTGACGGTACATTACAGCGTCTATAGGAGGCCTGACGCACAGTCAGGAAGAGTTTGTCCTTGTTCTAGTGAGACGCTGAGCACAAAGGTGAATGTGAAAAGTCTTTGATTTGAAGGTGTTATGTTAAGAATATTAACATTGATCTGTCAAAAGATTAATCAGTCATTAGTGTCATTGCTAAGGGAAGAAAACCCATTTCTCTGCAGCCCATATTGGCCTTGAGGCTGCCACCAGGTCAGGTCAGCATTCTTCCAGAGCACAGTCTGAGGTGATGGCATTTAGAGGGAAGTGTGAATGCAAAAGGTACAAAACCTTCTCACTGTGATCAGAAGGCGTGCCTAGGGCCATGCTGTGTGGAGTTTGCATGTTTTCTTTTTCCTGTGCCTACAAGGGTTCTGTCCAAGTACTCCAGCTTCCTCTCGCAATCCAAAGACATACACAGCATGATAATAGGCAACTCTAATGCATTACTATACTATTGAATTTTTCATACCTTACTGTAATATGACCTTGTATGCCTTTGTATACTATGATGTTTTTATGATGTTTTTATGCCTTACTATAGTATGAGGTTTTTATGACTTTTGATGCCTTACTGTACTATGATGTTTTTATGACTTTTTATGCCTCACTATACTATGATGTTTTTATGACTTTTTATGCCTTACTATACTATGATGTTTTTATGCCATACTATACTATGATGTTTTTATGACTTTTTATGCCTTACTATACTATGATGTTTTTATGCCTTTTTATGCCTTACTATACTATGACATTTTTATGCCATACTATACTATGATGTTTTTATGACTTTTTATGCCTTACTATACTATGAT